GACGGCTTCCCGCGCCCCACCTGCAGTTGCACGGCGCATTCTGTCTGTCAAATTCTGTCTTGTTAATACACATTCCTCATTTTTGGTGGTTATAATTGTCCACATAATATGATCCACTGCACACATCAAGTACCTAATTGGCCAGATAACTCTCTGGGCTAACCCCTCTTAAAATAAGTGTGGAAAGCAGAAATACTTTATGATGTGAGAAATGATAGTGATACCGGAGAGGGATAAAAATGTCCTTGAATGTAATTCCATCAGATCAGGTCATTGATTGGTGGTCCATTACAAGAATGAGCATGGGGGCTTAGAGAGCACTCTGCTTTGCTCGGTTCCTTGACTGCACCAGCAGCTAGAAGCTGTTCCAGGAAATAATAAACCAATAGAAGCTTTAATTGGCAACTGTAATCTATCCCAAGGCGAGAGTGTGTTTTTCTCTTGCACTGAGAACCAGTATGCTGGAGAAAGCGACTACTCCCCCACTTTCCTGCTGCTATTTATTTTTATCTCTATTCTGGCTGGGAGGACGTTCCTCCCTAGAGGAGCCGTGTCTGTACCAGAGCCATGAGCAGTTAGACATTTGATTTATTTATAGTTAATGAACAGAGAGCAGCTTTATTCTGTCATCATGTATAAAAATATAAGAAAATAAATGTTTCATTCTTTTGGGTGTGCACACACACATACATATGCATACATCTGCCTAACACCAACAAGTGATCTGCAGCTGGAATAAGGATGAATGGACGGACGGATGGATCCCTCGCTATCTTTTTCTGATGTCACATGGAACCATACACTTAATTTTCAACTTTGTAGAATCTGCTACAACAGAAGCAACTCTTCCCATTGTTTCTTAGATTTACATTTTTTTCAGAGAAATGTCTTTACGCTCATAGACAGACACAGATTCACTACTGTACTGATGTGTTTTCCTCTCTTTTAGGTACACTGTGGCGGACACGAACTGTAATTCAGACTCCTCAAGGTGATGGCAGGCCGTGCCCATCACAGATGAAACAATGGAAGCCTTGTCTAGTAAAGCCATGCTACAGTTGGCGATACAGCGCCTGGTCGGAGTGCAAGTCAGATGTAAGGGACTTCTCATCTTTTTGTCTCTCTGTATCAAGTAAGATAAACATTTGGGTTAGAGAACTGATGTTGCAGGTGGTACTTGAAACACCCAAATGTAGATGATTTTAACTCCAGGAGCTGGAACACAACAAGCTGAAGAAGGAGGTAATTCAAAAAGACAAGCAAAACTGTCAAAGCCATTAGCCATGCAGTTTATTCAGGCTGTATCATATCAAATATACACAAATTCTGAAGTATTTAATTTGGATTCTATGTAAAAGACCAACACAAATTATACCGCAGAATTATGAAGAGCAATGAACATAAAACATTTTTGCCAAGTTAAACATTGTCATCATGGGGACAGTTAAATTAATATAAAGTGTTAGTGTTTTTGTAATATATTAAGTTTTGCATGTAGGACAAAAAGTTCACCTTTGACCTCATCTGTGATCACTTAATAATCATCAAGTGATTATTAAGTGATTAATGATTAATCATGAACATCACAATTTGGCTTCCAGACACTTTTTGTGTCTGATGGTTCCGGTCTCCTATGCCCTCTTTTGCTCCTTTAGTTAGCACAAAAACCTTCCAATTTTCAAATGTGTTGAAGATTAACAACTAATTGTTTAGATTAAATGAGCTGCTGAAGCTCCAGAATGTGAAAGTGTGGTCACTTTTGTAAGAGGTTCTTCTGTTGTGTGTTTGATCAGGGGGCGAGGTGTGGGGAAGGCATGCGCTTCAGGAATGTGTCCTGCTTTGTGTCCAATGGTTCCGGTCAGCAGGATAGCAGCGTGGTTGATGATGAGCTATGTGGAGATGTGGAACTTTCAGTGAATGGAGACAGACAAATTATTCTGCAGGAACTTTGTACTGTCCCCTGCCCAGGTACATAACAAGCTGACTCTAACAACTCTGTGTATGCTGATATTAAAGCAATACTTTGAAATCCAACTCAATTTAAAAACAGGAACTTGAAGTGTAAACGCGAGCTATAGTGCATATACTAAAGAAAAATACATTCATTTTTTCCCATACTTATCCAAAGGTATTTAGTACTTAACCTTAAGTTGCCTTCTAAGCTTGCATGTGTGTGTATAAATGTGTGGGTGAATATGTCCATAGTGTCATTTTGAGTGGTCAGAATGACTGAAAAGGTTCTAAATAACTTCATTCAAAAAAAAATTGAATGGAAGTTAATTGACTTTGACAGATAAATATGCAAACAGTAGAAAATGAGAAACAAAACACAAATATTGGTTTAGAAAATATAGCTCTTCCACACATATTCAAAGTACACACTTTTTTCAAAATAGTTTGATCTCTTATAAATCTGAAATGACCAACTCTACACTGAAAACTGATTCTTTAAGAAACAGTTTGATTTTTCTGAAACCTTTTTATTTGTGAAAAGAGCAAAAGCAATTAAATGCATTTTTGCTACTAGTATGACCATACATGCAAATAAGAAAACACTATAAAAAAAACTGTCTAAGCATAGACTACAATATTCTAATTTGATCACCAATCTCCAGTTTATAGAATGTAACATTATTCGGTAACACTTTATTTGAAGGGGGTTGAATAAGACTGACATGACACTGTCATAAACATGACATAACACCTGTCATGTTCATGAATAAGCCTTCATGAATATTTATGACTGTTGTCATAAAGCATCATTCGGTAAATTATGACACTTTTAATACAAAGTTGACATTATTCAAAATGTCTTTGTTATGACAACTTGACATTAACCAAGAAATCATTACTGAAATAAATTTCTTATAAAAGTATTATTGATTGCACTTTAAAAATTTGGTAACTTTATGTTACTAAAGGTAAAGTTTAAACAGTAATGATTTCCTGGTTAATGTCAAGTTGTCATGACAAAGACATTTTGAATAATGTCAACTTTGTATTAAAAGTGTCATAATTTACCGAATGACGCTTGATGACAACAGTCATAAATATTCATGAAGACTTATTCATGTTCATGACAGGTGTTATGTCATGTTTATGAAAGTGTCATGACAGTCTTATTCAACCCCCTTCAAATAAAGTGTTACCCATTATTCTATTTGCAAAAGCAAAATAGAGGTAATTTTTAATTTCTCAAAAAAATTGCTCAAATCTTGTCTTGTGAACCCAGTGCTATCATATAAACAGCTGACACATTCATAACTTGAATGTGATATTGTTACACTTTTATTTTTGCACTGATGTGATGGAAGGAAAGTAATTCTGTAGCTCTAAATAGTCATGATGCTCTTTTTCATAGCAGTTCAAATCTGCAATTACAAAACAGAGAATAACAAACAGGAAACAGACCAAATTGACCAACCAAAGTTTGGTCAAAGACCAAATTGACCAACCAAAGTTTGGTCAATTTGGTCAAACAAATATGAAGCTTTACAACATGCAACACATTTGATATCATGCAGATGAGTTTGACACTTGGTGAGCAGAATTGGGATCCTAAGTTAAGGTACTTACTAGCTTTCTGTTCCTATAACTGGTAACAAACGCAGAGCAAGAAGCAGAAATATCTGCTGGAAACAGTTTAGCCATATTTAACAACTGCACTTTCTGTGTTTGTGATTAATTTTAAGGACATAAACCACCATTTCTGTGTTCTATGTTGTACATTACAATTTTACAGTTTTCTTTTTAAACCTGGAAATGTAAACATTTTGTTTGTTTGTTTGCCTTGTTATAGGAGAATGCTACCTGACAGAATGGACTGTCTGGAGTCCATGTCAGTTAAGCTGTGTGAGTGGGGATGACCTTGGTTTTGGCTCAATCCAAGTTCGATCCAGAGCTATAGTTGCTCAGGATCCTGAAAACCTGCTTGAGTGTCCTGAACAAGAACTGGAGGCACGGCCATGTGCAGGTCAGATTAACAGAGCTTTGGTTAAGGCATTCTTCAGATGCAGAGCAGAAAGAAAAACATGCTTTAAACAGTTGATGATGAAATGCTAGTGTGGCTTACATGCCTGAATTGTTACATACTGAAACAATATTTCATTGACTTCAAATGAAATATGTTTTAGAAACTTGACATTTCCATTTAAATACTATTTTTATAATGGATTTTATATAATATTGAAATTTTCGGAGGCAATTAGTCATGGATTATCTTTGTCTGTCAGCCATAATCATTACCATGACAAGAAATAAAGGTTTGAAATTTTTCTATACTTGTTTCACTTTCTGAAATAAGTGGTGAAATATAATATTCACATGTTTTGAGATGTACTTTTGTGAGGACAGTTTTGATAGTGAAGTTCATATGTGTAAAAAGGCAGACAAGGAAATATTGAACATATCATACAAGAAAATGCAGATGCAGCCATTCAACCAGACCATGTGTCTTCAGGTGGACAATGTTTTGAATACAAGTGGAGGACTGGAACATGGAGAGGTTCGTCTCGTCATGTCTGGTGCCAGCGCTCTGATGGGATGAATGTCACAGGTAATACTCTGTGTGCTCTGGTCATTTCAGACTGCTGATTGGTCCCAAATAAACACTCAGCAATTATCCAATAAAGCTGTAATGACCAGATATCAAGTGAAGAAATAACATTAGCAGGAAGCTGTAGAACCAGAGAAAACTCACACAGTAGGAGCAACTACTCACTGCTGAGTGCAACACTCGCGTACCTATTCACTGAAGGGCACTTGAGCATTACAATGGTTTTCAAAGTCTTGATTGTGCATTTGTTGGTCTTTCAGGTATATTTTTAAACCACTCAAAAGACTATTTCTAAACTTTCTACTTCAAAAAGGCAACAAGAACCTGTCGTAGTACAGACAAAACAAAGTTTCTTCATTTCTGGAACTTCCAGTGAAATTAACTAGAAGTACAACAGAGGTGGCCGTCCTGCAACCTTTCAGTAGCTGCACATTTTTTTATTATTCTTCATAAAAACCTTTTCAGAGCTTTTGATCCGTCAGCATACCAGATGCACTTTACATTCAAGGCTCCTTCTGTTGAAACTTCAATATTAAAACTTGATTGATTTAGAGTTTATTTGTTTTTAGTCCAACAGTTTGCTGTTGAAACCAAGACTGAATCAACCTAAGCATTCAATAACCCTGTAGAGATTAAATATGCTGTCTAAAATATTAATGCGCTCAGATGTGATAACAAAGGACAGGACTACCACAATGACAACCACAGGGGAACAACAAACTATATGTACATTGGGTGCCTGGAAAATGTCACAGAAACACCATGTAGGAATCAGAGCTCCTAAAGTATGACAAACCACAGAAAATCACATAAAACAGATCCTTCACAGAACACCTAAAGCACCAACTAGCCTGACTTTCATAAAGGCTATGATCATAACCACACATAAAGACCACTAACGAACCACAAAGCATGTCAGTTTGACCTCTTACATTCTGCTTTGCAGGTGGTTGTCTGGCAGCAGCCAAGCCATTGGCGGATCGATCTTGTGACCCTCCTTGTACTAAACCATGGTCCTTGTGCACAGAGGTGGGTGTTGGAAAGAGAAATGAAGATTGTTTATATGTAATTGTCATAAACCAATGAGTAAAGGTCCACAGCTGAATAAAAACACATCTCAAAGAATTAACTGAATATCAAAAGCAAAGCCTGACAAATCCTAAAATAAAGGGAAACACAAAACCAAAGTCCCAAAGACTATAATTTGTTTATTGACTAAAAATAAGTGTACATTTCATTTATTTACTCCAAATGCTGTCATCTCCAGAAGGTATCATATGCAAGCCATTTAAAAATAGAACAGTTACAGTACTCTATAGAGAGAGTTTGTCACGGACTGTTGGATCCTCCAGGTATCATGACTCTGTTCTGTCTTAGAGAGTTATTAGTTCAGCCTGATTACTGACTTTATTCACACTGCTCTGTGATGCTTAAACCAGGGGTCCCCAAACTTTTTCCTGTGAGGGCCACATAACTTTTCCATTCTCTCGTGGGGGGCCGGAGTCAATTTGTAACAGAAAAAGTGTGACAATTGCAGGAGTGCCTAAATGTATGAAATTATTGTTTTCTAGAAAGCACAATCAAATAACATTCTCTGGGTTCTTCACAGAAAAAAATCCAATAAGGATTAGTTCGTATTTTCCGAACTATGAGCCGCACCGGAATATAAACCACAACCCCAAAGTTTTTTTTGTTTTTTTAATAAACCAGTAAACATGCACATATAAA